ACAAATATCCAAAGTTCTTTAGTGAAGAAAACATCAAGGTTTTGTATGAAATAAATAAATATTACTAGTTGGGGAAATGTAAAACCTATTATAATTACAGTCTTTTTGTGTGTTGTTATGTTAACTCGCTTCCTAAACACCTTAACTCGGATCTTGTCCAATTAGATCTGGTTCTCAACTGTTGACTAGGTTTGGTTAATCATGCACAGGTTAGCATTGAGTGAATGTATACTCTCTTAATGTTAAAACCAAAACCATCAACACAAAATATATTAAATGTAACAGACAAAGACCAAGAAAAGTCGTTGATAAAAATCTTTTAAACATTTTAAACTAATAAACACAAATATCACTTCCTTTGCCCCTATAAATAGCCTGCTAATTCTATATCCCCTAAAACACACGCATAAGATAAAATGAAATTCTCAATAACATCAGCTTTTTGCTTCATTCTCTCCATCTTCTTGATCGGAGCACAGGCCAAAGTCCCAGTCGATGAGCAGTTCCGAGTGGTCAATCAAGGAGGCTACACTGACTACAATCGCATCGAATACAACGCTGACGTACGTGGCTTCCAACCATTCAACGACAATTTCCGTCTCTGTTTCTACAACACAACCCCAAACGCGTACACCCTCGCTCTCAGAATCGGAAACAGAGGCCAAGAATCCACTCTTCGATGGGTCTGGGAAGCTAACAGAGGCTCACCGGTCAAAGAAAACGCGACATTGACTTTTGGTGAAGATGGAAACCTCGTACTCGCCGAAGCTGATGGTCGCCTAGTGTGGCAAACCAACACTGCTAATAAAGGTGCGGTTAAATTCAGGTTTATTAAAATTAATTGGTGACAAGTGGATTGAATTTAATCATTTATATATTTAATTAATTTGTTAGTCCTCCAACTACTAATTTGTGATTTTATTTCATTCATTAACAGGTGCCGTAGGGATCAAGATCTTGGAGAATGGCAATATGGTAATATACGAAAACAAGGGGAAGTTCTTGTGGCAGAGCTTTGATTCTCCGACTGACACACTTCTTGTTGGACAATCACTTAAACTCAATGGTCGGAACAAGCTCGTAAGCAGACGGTCTCCATCAGTCAACACAAACGGACCATACAGTCTCGTGATGGAAGCCAAGAAGCTTGTCTTGTACTACACGACAAACAAAACTCCGAAACCTATCGCTTATTACAGCTACGAGTTCTTCTCCAAAATCACTCAACTACAGTCCATTACGTTCCAAGCTGTGGAAGATTTGTACGACACCACGTGGGGTTTACACATGGAAGGCGTTGACTCTGGTTCTAAATTCAACGTCTCAACATTCATCTCGAATCCCAAACACAACGCCACGTTGAGTTTCATTAGGTTAGAATCAGACGGAAACGTTAGAGTTTGGAGTTATAGTACCGCCGCGACTGCGACCGCTTGGGACGTGACGTACACGGCGTTTACTAACGACGACACTGAAGGTAATGACGAGTGTAGGATTCCTGAGCATTGTTTGAACTTTGGTTTGTGTAAGAAAGGTCAGTGTAACGCTTGTCCTAGCGACAAAGGACTTCTTGGTTGGGACGAGACTTGTAAGACTCCGAGTCTCGCAAGTTGTGATCCCAAGACGTTTCATTATTTCAAGATCGAAGGAGCTGATAGTTTCATGACTAAGTATAACGGTGGCTCATCAGCCACTGAGAAAGCGTGTGGGGATAAGTGTACGAGAGATTGTAAGTGTTTAGGGTTTTTCTACAACAGGAAGAGTTCGAGGTGTTGGTTGGGTTATGAGCTCAAGACATTGACTAGAACTGGAGATTCTTCGCTTGTTGCTTATGTCAAGGCTCCTAATGCTAACAAGAAGTGAGTTCTTTGAAGTGTGTATGAGTCATTTGAAATTATTGTGTTTTTCGTTTAATAAGGTCAACTTTGGTTTCTTTATCCTTTTATAAACTACATTGTAATAAAGTGAATGCAGTTTATGAATCAATTTGAGATATGCATGAATATTTGAAATGCTTTGTCAGTAACGCACGTCCCACGTGCAAGCAAAAATTATTTTGGATGATTTCATTTACAAAGGATAAAATAAGGATAACTTTTTTTGTAATAAAAATAAGTTTAAAAGAAATAATATTTGTAAGTGAAAAACTCTTTATTTAGTGGAGTGTAAACCAAGCCACCGGGATAACCAGTTCCAGAAGTATACATAGGTGCAGTTTGGGGATGTTTTTTTTTGTTGTTGACAAATGCAGTTTTGTGGATGTTGACAAGGAATCATTCGTGTAACGGTTGATGTTAAACTTTGACAATGTTGATTATGAATTTTGCCTTTATATCTTGTTGATGATGTTAAGATTATGAGTTATTGGCCACTTGAGCTGCCGTTGATCATTTATAAGTGTGATACATTGATACACTTGAGCCATGCATCACGTATGGTTTTTAGCAGTTTATCTACTTCATCTTTAGTAGGGGTGGGATTTAATATATGTTATCCGATCTGTGATCCGTTTCAATCTGTTTCAAAAAAACAGATATCCGGGAGGATCCGCAGTGATTTTACGAATCCAACGAAATCAGATAGTGAAATTTAGGTCTAGACATCCAGGTTTATATAAATGAATAATATTTATTTTTTCTTAAATTTCAATATTTTTTTATTTTTTACAAATATAAATTAAAATAAAATAAATAGTAAATTAGTTAGTTTATTATATTTAATTTCATTTTAAATATTAAAAATTAAAAAACAAATTCGAATATCTATTCGGATTTTATTATGGATATCTGAAATTAGGATATCCGAATACCCGATATCTGAAAAGTCTGAATTCGGATTCGAATAGCAATTTTGATTGGGTTTATGTTAGCATACAGTTAGCATACCTTGGTGAAAAGTGAAAACTAACTTTTAGTCTATAAAAATTACTCTAATAGAATAGCTTGGTGTACCCCATCTGTTAGTACCAATATTTCAAGTCGTTTTGTATTAATACAGCTACTTTGGTCTCTACACCCGATCCTTTAATTTCATTTATTACATTTGTATACGATCCAAAAAAACCAAAAATCTCGTACACATTACATACAAGGGCCATGTGTACGATGGCCCTAGCCTGTTTATAACCAGGCTGAACAAATGAATGTCTTTAATCTTTATTTCTTTTCTTTTTGGTTACCTTTCAAAATATGCTTAATACAAGTTGGCTTAAGACAAGTTGGCATATGGACCACAAAATGTTGAGCCGTCGAATAAGACTGTCTTACAAGGGTGCCCACACACCTTCAGCCGCCGGGTATTTGGACATGTGTGATGAGCAGTGGCAGAGGCAGTATGTAATCAGGGGGTTCAACTGACTTATGTCAAATTTTGCAAACAAAAAAAATAGTAGAACCATAATCAAAAAAGTGTTTGTGATAGTTCCAGAAGAAATGAAACAAAAGATATGTTAGAACTAGGACAATTATTGTATGAGGTCTACTTGTATTTTTACAGAAAAATTTGATAAAATAACTTATTGACCTTTGCAAAATATATGTTATCATATTGACCCTTCTAAACTAAATGTATGCCTTCTGTTGTCAAAAAAATATATCTAAATGTCTGTTTCCGCCACTGGTGATGAGCCGTTCTGGATCATACCACCTAGTGTTACATAGACAATATTACATCAGCAATTCTATCTGTTTTATGTGGATTCACGTCTGACTGTATCATTCTGAGGGGTCTTATGAGATTTATTCTTAATGGTATTCTTTGCGCAATGTTGAAGATTTCTTGTAAACATTTTCTCTAGTTTTTTTCTGCATAATTCACATTCTCCAAGAAATGAAACCTAAAAATTGCATAATCCGAGATTCAAACCTAGATCTGGATGTAAAATCCTTAATCCTTTAACCACCATGCCATGGTGATTCCACAAGTGGCAGATTAGTTTTACAAAGACAAATAGTAGTAATTAAGGTAATTGCTTAGTTTTTAATTACTTTATATAATATAACGAGAATTCTCTCAATTTACATGTATTTGAATTACGAATCGTATCTATGTATCCTAAGTCAATTAATATATATATATATATATCAATCAAGTCCAAAGGGACGTTAAACTCGATCGCGAGCATCTTTCCCTGTGGGCCATAATTAAACTGGGATTGGTCGTAGTTCAAAAGCGATATTTATTTATTTGTGTTCAATCAGTTCGCAGGTCTCATACATTTTAAAATGATTTAACTAATGTTGCATGTAGTGCAAGAAAACAAAACCGCACTAGTATAACAAATATCCAAAGTTCTTTAGTGAAGAAAACATGAAGGTTTTGTTTGAAATAAATAAATATTACTACTTGGGGAAAAGTAAAACCTACAACAGCTCAAGAAGTGAGTTCTTTGAGGTGTAAGTGAGTCATTTGAAATTATTGTGTTAGTTCGTTTAATAAGGTCAACTTTGGTTTTGTTTATCCTTTTAACATGTATGTTTGAGATATACATGTATGTTTGCAATGCTTTGTCGGTAACTCACAATCCCACGTGCAAGCAAACCATTATTTGGCATTGCATTCATAAAGGATAAAATAAGGATAAAAATTAAATAACAATTGTAAATTTAAAAATATCTATTTAATAGAGTCTGTAAACCAATCCACCGGGATAACCAGTTTCAGAAGTATACATTGGTGCAGTTTTTGGATGTTTTTTTGGGGTAAAAGGTGTTTTCACCTGTTTATCAATAATCCAAACATTGTAAATATTCTTTTTCAATTCTTAGAGACGTTAATGAATTCGACCACAAGGTTGCAATAATCTCATAAGTTCAATTAAGAAATTAAACAACCTGGTTAATGTTCTATTGAAAACTTTTCTGTAGCAATGAGAATATTCGAAGTTTTTCAACATAAACCTTATCCAAATCATAAATAAGCCATTGCCCCCCTGTATTGTTCATCACCAATTTGCTTGGTCTGTATCAAGTCATAATTAACAATGTGGTCAAACAAACAAAAGACTATTCAAATGAATACACCGAAAGTTCTGAAGTTAACAACTTATATATACACTCATAAACTAGTTCTTCTGAATTACAACTCACCTCACTACTATCCAACTCACAAAGAGCAATGATGCTACGATTAGATATCTTGTTAGTCACGGCACTTACCATTGCCACTGTTTCAGTGGTTACAGCCCAAGTCCCTCCCGAGAAACAATTCAGAGTCCTCAACGAACCATCCTACGCCCCATACATCACCGAGTACAACGCCGATTACCGATTCCTCACTTCAGAGAACCAGAGCTTTTTCACCAACCCTTTCACGCTCATGTTTTACAATACCACCCCTAGCGCCTACATCTTAGCTCTCCGTGTCGGAACCAGGCGTGACCTTGACTACACACGTTGGATCTGGGACGCAAACCGGAACAACCCCGTCGGAGATAACTCTACTCTCTCGCTCGGGCGCGACGGAAACCTCGTGCTCGCTGAGTTAGACGGCCAAGTAAAGTGGCAGACCAACACAGCCAACAAAGGCGTTACGGGGTTCAAGATCCTCCCCAACGGTAACATGGTGCTACACGACAAAAACGACAAGTTTATCTGGCAGAGTTTCGACTATCCGACAGATACACTTCTTGTCGGCCAGTCGTTAAAACTTAACGGAGTTAACAAACTCGTTAGTCGTACGTCCGATATGGACGGCTCAGATGGACCGTACAGCATGGTCCTTGGTGAAAAAAATTTAACCATGTACGTTAATAAAACCGGAAAGCCGTTAGCTTACGGTGGATGGCCGTCCGAGGACTACCGCGGCACGGTCACGTTCACCGTTAGAAGAGAGTTCGTTAACTTAACGGAGCCGTCAGCTTACGAGCTCCTCTTAGAACCAGCTCCACTACCGGACACTGGTGGTAGTAACCGCAGGTTACTCCAAGCCCGACCCATAGGAATCCTAAGCAAAATTAACTACAACGGAACTATCTCGTATCTAAGGCTCGGTTCAGACGGGAGCCTCAAGGCCTTCACGTACTATCAACCGGCTACGTATCTCGAGTGGGAAGAAACTTTTGCTTTCTTCTCCAGGAACTTCGTACGTGCATGTGGCTTGCCTTCGTTTTGCGGCGAGTTTGGATATTGCAGTCGAGGGATGTGCGTTGGGTGTCCTACACCCAAGGGTTTGTTCGCTTGGAGCGAGACATGCTCGGCGCCGAAAACGACTGCTTTTTGCGGAAACAAGGGTAAAACGGTAAATTATTTCAAGATAGTCGGTGTTGAGCATTTTAATGGTCCGTATGTTAACGATGGACAAGGACCGGTTTCTGTGAACGAATGCAAGGTGAAATGCGATCTTGATTGCAAGTGTTTGGGTTATTTTTACAAGGAGAAGGACAAGAAATGTTTGGTTGCTCCTCTTCTTGGTACGCTCATCAAAGTCGCTAACACGTCTTCTATTGCTTATATCAAATATTAGGTGATCAGTGTTATTTATTCACCAAGACCAACGTATTGAGTTTGTAATCATTCACCGTTTAGTGATGTACAACTTTTTTTTTTTTAATCTAAAAGCATTTGGCTTTATTTACCATCTATATGTATACCATTGATGATCAAAGTTCTACGTGATATGTATACCTTAGTTTTGAACATCACTGCCATGAAGAGTTGTGATTTGAGAGGGTTTGATGAGTTCAGTCTCAAACGCTCATTAAAGGTCTGACTGGTTACAACGCAGCGATTGCGGTTGCGGTTACGGGTGTTTGCGGATACGGGAAATTACGGGAGATTGCGGATTTAAGCGTTAGTTAGAGATTTAGATGATTGATTTAACGGTAAAAATTGTTGCGTTTACGGGATACTTGTTACTGGTTTATCATCAAATACAACAAAAAACGCTGCTTAAAACATAACTTGCACAGCAGCTTCATTACGATATCCATCAGGGATACTTAAAGTCAAAAGGGTAATGTTGATGGAGAAGAAGGAAGAGATGAACACACCCAAAGAAATTCGTAGTAATCGAAGGGGAAAACAGAGAAGAAAATCGCATAAAGGTGTTCCTTTCTTTAATATGTGGAAGTGCTTTGTACATAAACATTGGTCACAACTCAAAAGTCATCAAAAAGAAAAGAAAGAAGAATTGTAGCTCTAGAGCAATTGCATTTTATACTTTTCAAAGCATTCACATTCACACGGTAGTCCTCGCCTACACACCAAGCTACAAGTGTTATTACCAGCCAGAGGAGACAAGAAACCACTCGGGACAATTCCTTATAAAATTTTCGAATATAATCAGCATTTTGATTCATAACTCATTCACTCTAATCAAATCAGAAACATGAAAGACTACCTATGGACTCCATGAAGAACTTCAAGTAGAGCAGCAGTTTGAATCACCTGAACGAACCAATCCAAAACCAGCAACAATACAGATCATTCTCACTAACAAGAAATATAGATATTCTCCCGTAACTATCTTGTAATAATTTACCGTTTCACCATTGGTTTTAGTTGTGCATCGTCAACATACGGACCATTAAAATGCTCAACACTGACGATCTTGTAATAACTTATCGTTTTACCATTGTTTCTCCCGCCGCAAAACGCCATTGTTTTCGGCGGCGCTGAGCCTTTATAGCTCCAAGAAAACAAACCCTTGGGTGTAGGGCACCCAACGCAAATCCCTTGACTGCACGACCAAAACCACACATACCATTATTGTACGGTCTACATTGCTAAATATATCCCTCATAACCAAATTACAATCCAAAATTACACCGAACAGCTTAGACAGGTAATTAGAAACAGTATTTGAGAAGTTTATTCAAGAATAACCCCATTCTCAAAAATGAGAAACTAATGTATGAGCAGTGCATCTTAAATTAGTTTCCATTTAGAAAAATATTGATGGTATATTTAACGATAGAAAGAATTACTTTTAAGGTTATCTACTTAAGTTTAACTTACATAAGTTTAACTTTCAACGATTTTTTTTTAAACCATAAGCTCTAAACTTAGCAGTGTATCTAAAATTTTATATCATAATTTATGTATTAACCTTTTAAAAGTATACTTTTAGATTCAACCATGTTTGACAGTTCTAATTGCACATGCTATTAGGTAGCCATGTCTACGGGTATCTCACAATTTTTAGAACTCCATCAAATATAATTAGTATTTTCTTTATTCGCTTTTGATAGCTACCTCATTTCTTTTAAGAACCCTCACATACTGCTGATAAAATTACTCTTAACACATCACCAGTTCATTACTACATCTTCTAATCTATAACTAGATTTGAACCCGCACTTCCGTGCCGTATATTTTTATTTTTAAAATAACAATTAAAATATAAAATAAGTTATAAATATATATTATATATCAACTTCATATTTTCTATATATAATTAGTTCAAACTTTTAATAATTGATGAAATTTGTTTTAATGAAATTTTACTATCCATATATTAACCATTTTCTTTCTTTGCTTTTTTATTTTAAAATGTAGTAGCATATTAAATAGTATAATTTAAAACATTAGTTTATAGATGAATTATTACTAATGTTATCAGAAATTTTGTTTGAATTAGTTAATACTATATTCTCAAAATCTTGTTTTATTAAATATATTATATTTTAGTTTTGTGTGTTTATTGTTACCAAAAAAATTAAAAACGTACAGAAAACAAATTATTGTTTCTTTGTTTTTAAAACTATAACTTTTAACAGATTTGAGATATATTATTTCATTTTAAAAAATAATTACCTGAAAACACATAAAATCTGTTAGGATTTTGATATAAATCTTTTCTTAATCGCTTATTTAGATATTAATCTCAGTTACATGTAATTCAAAAATAAAATATGATTATATTTAGGTTAATTTGTTAAGGTATTAATCAAATGGTCCAACTATGACTTATCTATAGTATATTTTTATAGTGACTCTATTTTAATAGAGTAGATAACTAGAACAATTATCTAAAACTTGAATCCGTTAAAAATTAAGAAAAACATCTAATTAATTTGATTTGGATGTAAAAATATTTGTTAGTATAATTATTTTGTGTTTAAAATCTTACTGTTAAAAACTAAATTTAGTGAGTATTTATTGTTTACAGAAAATCTGTACAATCTAAATGAGAAACAATGATTTCAGAGATTATAACTTATAAAATAATGACTATTTATAGAAAAAGATCTCTGCAAAAGATAAATGCTCAGTGTGACTCATAAAATCTTATATACACATATTAAGTAAGAAACTAATGTTATCTAGAAATATATACATTTTTTTGAAACTAAGAAATTTAAGACAAAAGACTTTTCTATACTTATTTAAGAAAGTTCAATTAATTTCAGTAAAAAAATTTAAGATTTGAGATTTGTTACCCTAATTAGTTAAAATTCATAATGGTAAAATCTATATTCTCGATTCTTTTCTAAAAGATAATTTTCTTGAATTTTTCATACATATCGAAAATTGATGTTTATTAATAAATAAATGCATAAACTTCTTGTATACTTTTTAGGAAGCCAACAATTTATTACCAGTAATATGATTAAAACAGAAACAGAAATGTACTTTTTAAACGGAAATTGGTGTCATATTTAGAATCTGGAAATATAGATATTCCCCCGAATAATACGAATTTCGCGCGAAAGACCTAGTTTCCACTAGTATATATATAAACATGTATATTGGTAACAGAAATATCAATCATATGAGAAATGTTGAACGTGTAGACAAAACTCCACCACAATCCTTCTAACCTCTATCGCCAATCTTCAGAAGCTGTTGCTTGATCTCCTCTGCGTTCATGGATAAAGATGGAGTGAAACTTGTTTGTTCCACCAACCAACCGGGTGAAGTTGATAGGATAAGCCATCTACCAGATTGCTTGATATTCCAGATACTCTTGAATCTTCCAACCAAAGATGTGGTTAAGACAAGTGTGTTATCCACCAGATGGAACCATATCTGGAAACACGTACCTGGACTGAACTTGGAATACGATGATTTTCCAGAGCACAACTCATTCGTGAGTTTTGTCGATAGCTTTCTGAGTTTCAACAGGGACACGTGCTTAAAGAGGTTTAATTTAACGTACGATTCTTCTGAGGCTGATGAGCCTGAACCTGGTCTTGTCAGGCGCTGGCTCGACACTGTTTCTAGGCTGAACGTTGAAAACCTCGATGTTGTGGACGATTCAGGAGAGAGTTGGGAACCCGCGATGACTCCAACACTCTACACTTGTGGGAGGTTGGTGTCCTTGAAGCTTGCTGGAGTAACCTTGCCTAGTCCCGAGGTTGTTTCTTTACCTTATCTCAAAGATATAAGATTAATCCTTGTTGAGTTTACCGACGAATGGGCATTAGAAAAGTTCATCTCAAGATGCCCAGCTCTCGAAAACTTATGTATTGAGAGGAGTTTTGGTGATGATATACCAATGTTACGTGTGCGTTCTCGTTCTCTGTTGACCTTCGTTCATGGTGTGGACGGTGACGAGAGTTTTGATGATGAGCGTATACTTGAAATCGATGCTCCCATGCTTGAGTATATGATGCTCAGTGATGGTCGAACTGCGAGTTTCAAACTAGAGAATACGTCCTCCCTTGTAAGAGTGCATATAGATACTGCGTTTAACTTGACTTCCGAGAGGAGGTTCTGTCCAAATGATGTACAAAAGAGAAATATGATTCGCAATTTTCTCTTAGGTATCTCTAGGGTTAAAGATATGATCATCGCTTCTTGTACTCTCGAGGTAATCTACGTTGAAATTATTCTATTTTAATGCTCTCGAGGTATTTTAATGCTCTAATATATATTCTAGGTAGGGCGGATTCTGAAATTTTGGTAAAATTAACTTTTTGGGATTCACAATTTTAGTAAAAAGATTTTATAATTTTCTTTGAATAACTTTTTTTTAACAATTTAAAAACCTGTATTTATATATGATATGATAGCTCTTAAAATTTTGAGGATCAAGACCAGTGTTCATTTTGACTATATACCTAAAACCGGCTCTGATCCTAGCTATCCTGGATTTGAACCATATACATAATACATGAAGTAAACCATCGCACCTAACAGTCTTTCCTGATACTTTTTTTGTTGTTCTTGTAGGTCATCTATGATTACTCAAAATATGAACAGCTACCGGTATTTCGTAACCTATCTTCCTTGCAAGTTAATTTAGACGGCTACGAGTGGGAAATGTTGCCAGTCTTTCTCGAGAGCTGCCCCATTCTAAAATCTCTTGTCCTGGTGAGTATTATATTATCTAGATGATATCATAAGAGATGCTAATTTAAAGGGTGAATTAAGTATCTTATGTTGGAATATGTGTGTTCTTCCACTTGGTTGTATTTGTACGTCCAGGGATCTATTCAATATAACGTCAAGATGGGAATCACTGTTTTCTCCAGACATCCGCGTGTCCTGCCATCTCTTGAGTATGTTGAGATAAAGAGGCCATTTAAAGGGGATGCGTTGGAGATGAAACTAGTTGCTTACTTACTTGCGACCTCACAAAACCTCAAGGAGCTAACCGTACGCTTGGATGATTCCTTAATGAAAGATATATCTGTCATCATCATCAATGAACTCCTTATGATGCCAAGACTCTCCAG